GGAAAATACGTAGGTATTTTCCTTATAAGCGATTGGCAACAGTGGCATATGCTTTTGTGGCGTTAAATATAATTTTAAATGAAATCGCAATAATTTGAAACAAATTATGTGTAACGGATAAGAAATATATTTCTGTGAAAATAAAACAACTAGCTAATAGCTGCACTTGATAGATACCAACATGTATTTAAAATAACTTTTTAGTTTTAAACATCTAAAATGATGAATTTAGTACTAAACTAATTCAGCAGTCCTTAAAAATATATTAACTTTTTGTCCTCTATTGTTTATTATCAAAAGGAGAAGAAAAGCCTGCTTGATAATCATAATTACTGACTTTTTATATCTATCGACAGTTATCTTTTATTAGCTGTTAATGATCAACGACCGATAACACCATTCCTTTTATGCTCTTGCCTTAAGTGATTACAGACTGAAACAATAGGAAACTTTATCTTTACAGTTTCAATTAGTTATTTTATAGTATAGCTAGTTAACTAGTTTAGAAATAAAAAACCTTGGTCGACAATATTATTTTTTAATGTATATTGCTAATGCAATATAACAATGATATGATATGAATCAACCTCTTCAAATAAATAATAAAACATAATGAATTTACCATATCATAAGTAAGTTATTTCCAATGTGATTGGCCATATCTTATTTCCATTACAAATTGAAATTCTATATTAATGGGGATCAATTATTTTAGCTTAATATTATAGATAGTTACTCAGTGACTTGTTTCTATTTCAATCTTATATTGAATCCGTTTTAATGATAAAATAATAAAGGCGACGTGATGGCATGAAGTTAATGCTAATAAATACTTACATAATATTTATATGAATAAAAGGATCTTCGACGTCATAGTAATAAATCGTAAACTTAGTGATAAAAAATTGACAAATCAGAGGTCAAAGATCATTGGGATTGGATCATTGGGGATACAGACGTGATAATCGTACATTCACCACAAGTTAATTCATCCCAAATTTTTGTTTTGTACATCGAAATTTAATAAATACCTTCATAAAAAAAACTGTGGCGAATTCACACATACTTTTTTGTGACGAATTAACTTCGTGGCGAATGTACAAAAACCCTAATTAACATCGCGTTAATCGACAATGAAGTAATTAATATTATGCAATTTCGTTTAGTGGTTAATTTTCTTAAGAGAATTATTACTTGCAGTAATAGAAATTGGCTTCTTCTTAAGAACGGAAAAGATTTTTATTAAGTATTTACTTGGTGAATTAAACAAACGTAGCAGAATCTAGATTAAGATATGGAAGACATGATCTCAAACTTTTACCTGAAGTATCACAAGATTACAAGAAGTAAACAATTACCCATAATACCCTTAAGGGAGATAAGTTATTATTGGCTTATAATTTAGATATAAAATAAAGGTTATGAATGAATGAATGTAAAGAAAAAAAGACAAGAACACAAAAATCTTAACACCAAGCGGGGGAATACCCATCAACAACACAAAAAGAGGCTCTCTGAAGTTTAAGGATCAAGTATCAGTATAGGCAGTATAATTTAAGAAGCTTGACGTCATTATTTAACGTTGAAGTTCCAAAAAACTTGCAAATTGCAACGTAATAATGAATCACATTTTCCTTATTCGATAGTAAACTTTTTGAGTAATCATCTGTAATAGCTTCACATTGTTTTTTTTTAAATTTCAATTATAAATAGGAAATTGTTTATTCTAAATTATACAAAAAAGTATGCATGAAAATACCTAATTTCAAAAGTTCAGTTATTACAAGTTTCTTTTTAGAATCCCATTATTGCGCTACGAGTAAAACTCAACCGTAAATCAGCGCAATAGGAACCTTCTCCAATATTGAATGCGTTTTTTGGCTATTACTAATGGCCAGTCCTAATCCTCTTAGTCCTACCGCGTATATTTAAGGATAAAATATTTACTTATATGTGACTGTTTCTACAACCGCTTAACCGCAGCCGCAGCAAGTAGCTAGTAATAAGTACAAGTATGCATTCGCATTGTCATAACATAGAGGAGAACGAATAAGCTAGACTCATTACAAGATATAAAGAACTTAACTAGCTCGTATAAGGTTTCATAAGATTTTTAATCGATAATAAAAATTACTTCATTAATAGAATAGTAAAAAAATGTAATTTATATAGTTGGAATCAAAGAAAAGAGATGTCACAACTTATAATAATTTCGTATGAATATAATGGTTTTGCAGTATTGCGGTGTAATGATGACAAATAATAAAATGAAAAAGTGATCTTTTTAAAGACCACATGTTTTACCAGGATACACCTACAGTATTCAATTACATTTAATTTGTTGGACACGAACTTGCAGAATTAAGTACGATTGTCGCTTCACGAAGATAAAATATTAATAGCTATAAGTTCAATATAAGTATTATTAAACGATGCAACAAATTAAATAAAATAAATAGAGAAAGAGAGATCGTGCAGAGGATATTCCATGATTAAAATGTCAATATATTATAACAAATTATGTAAAAAAAAGGAATGACATCATTGAAGATTATAACTATGCAGTAATTTCTTCAGACAACGTTGAATTTGAATACCTAGATCTTTGTGTAAGCATTCAATGGATGAGACTTCCGTACCGTAGGTAATACTGAGTACTGACAACTTTAAATATATCAACAGAACAAACATGTTACGTAATTGAAACGACCCAGAAATTTGCGATTCATTTGTGTTGCTCAAAGCGTTACTTTGAAAACATACAACAACACTACAATTATGTCAAAAATTACATCCTGAAACTTACTGGTACATAAAAAATGTATATTGACATTTTTGTCTATTTACTTTTTGAATCTTAATGATCGTGAAACGTGTTTTGAAAAAAATAAACATCGTCATACATCGTGTGTTAGATATAAAATGTCGCAGTATAAAACAAATAAATGAAAGACATCGTCGTTAGAGAATAGGCAAAGGCATAGCATTTTTAAAATCCTTATTTGCTAGATTTTTTTTTCTGATAAATAAAAATGACATGCCGCGGTAGAAATTCATTATTTTCTGTGACACCCTATAGAAAGCATAGTTAGTTGGTTATTTTATTTCGTTCAAAATTTTGTTTAATTTTTGGACAAAATACCTTGGCAATTATAATGAGTGTCTGTGTCTAATTAACAAATATATCGATGAACCTGTAGGCCAAGTAATAACTGAATTAGGTAATTGTAAAAGCTGTTTTAGCGAAATCAATCATTAATGTAATCGTGAAGCAACTACCCCAAATTACACAAATTCTATTGGCTAACATAACATTATTTATCATCTTGTTTACGTTATGATAATTAATTATGCATATTAATAAAAATTACCCATAAATTGGAATAAAAGTCTATCTATATCTGACAGACAATGCGTAACAACTTATAGTTGGTGTGAGTGTTAATCTATTTCGAAGGTTTGTTTACAGGTACAGCCGGCACTTGACATGGCTAGTACCTAGCTGCTATTGTGTACATGACAACAGCTCCCTCTGTATGACAAAGACAACCTGTCGTTAATATTACAAATAGCAATATAGACATTTGATACATGCATATAATACATAAGAAAAAAGATCACTTGATATCTTTTAAGTAATGGAAGAGTAACAAAATTTACAAGTTAACTACGTATGTATATTTTGTATTGAATGCCCACTGTTCACCATTCTATATGGAATTATTTTTATGAGAAGTTTTATAGCACATGTTGTAGCTATGTTATATCTTAGTAATGCCCATACTCCATAGCTAGAGGCAGCTAGAGGCAAGGTAAAGTGGACGCGACTTTCGCTTTGAATATCGCTCCAGCTGCTTTTTTTTTAAAAAAGGCTTCGTCAATGTAATCTTCTATCAACAAATCTGACCTCGCCTGTAGAACTGTGGCGTACGTCTAATATGAATGAACTTGAAGTAAATTTTGTAATTCCAAACCATTTTTATTGATTTTTCGTAGCTTCTACGTAATTAACTGAAGATCAAAGCTATATTATAAGCTATTAGTATCCAGTCAACAGTAGGTACTTAAGTGGATCATAACATAAAATATTAACATTTCAGATCAATGAAAAAGTTAATATTATAAATGTATTTTGTCGGATGATGACACGGTAAATTAAACGAAATTGTATTTAGTCCGTCAGTTAGGATAATCAAAAAATAATGAACACTATTTTTTTCATTTGTCAATCAATCAGAAAATGACAGAGATAAAGTGCGTCAAAGTTTGAAAGTAACTTTTGTAACTTAACGTAAAATTGTACCAAGACGTGACGTCATGTGACATTTCAAATAAATGTATCTTTGTAATGTTTGGAAGAAAAAAATACGTGTCCAATACTTTTTATCATCTAAGTACCTAATAGACTAAGAAAAAGAGTTAGTCATCATCCCCATTGTTTGACCTTAAATGACAATGAAACTAACTCTGTGAGACAGCGTTTTCCTTATGGTTATTTTAAATAGGTTTTGTCTCAGCATGAGAAAAACGCGGTAATTTGTTCGATTAACATTATAGTCATGAAGATACGATTGTAACGAAAATAATTATGACTTATTCATAGGTAGGTTAGGTGAGTAATGAGTATGTAATGTTAATTCGTGTAGTAATTGATGAACGATTTACAATCGTATTATAAAATAAATAGGAAATAATTTATTATTATAATATCTAATAACATGATTTGTTTCATCAAATATTTCGTTGAATAATCTGAATGCAATGATAAATATTTCATCGACGTTTAACCCACAATAATGTAACTTAGCACACATCACTAATACGTCAGACACATTATTTTACACTCGCGTCAAAACAACGCAACCAAATATAGACTCTAAACATGACGATAAATAGTGAATAATTGTGTAAACTGTCCAATATCAAAATGTCATTTATCTACATTAGAAATAAAATAGGTAAATAATTTATTCTAAACGCTAATACCTACTTCTACTTACATATATCTTCATACATGAGTTCAATATTATTTCTAGTCTATTTTTACACCAAAATACGCCGAGAATGATACTAAATTCGAAATAATTTTCGCGACTCAACAACGGAGACATTTAAGATTTTACCAATTAAATGGGCATTATTTCGTTCTATTGCACTTTCACATTGAGTATTTTTTGTTAAAAATCACATATTTAACACACATGTCCCTTTTATAAAAAACTTGCCGCTTGGTTTTGAAACAATTTGCATTTATAACCTAACACACGACCACCTTGACGCGATATCTACAAACAGCTGATCGGTGTTACCACAATGCGAAAGGACAAGGATTCAACCGCCAACTTCGCGGGAAAATGAACTCTATTACTTACGACGCGCGGGTGTATGAAACTGTGAACTAAATTATGCGATACCATATCGATCCATTCATGTTAATTTTTTCACAGTGGGTACTCGTAGGTATTGGATAAGTGCGGTGTGGATAAGTTAGTTTAACTTATAAAAATCCTTAGTATTTTCACAAAAATTCTATTTAATAAATGATCCTACGACATACGTATATATGAGATGATCACTTTAAGACATTTCAAAATACCTTAATTGTATTAAATAACAAAACCACTTTTTTATTTCACATAAATAATTGTCATTTTGCCATTAAATTGTCATTTCAATTTTAATTAGCAGTTTAGGTATGTATCATAATGTAACCCAAGATGTCAAACGGATTCTAACGATACCACATAAGTACATCAAAATCGGCTCAGGCGTTCAGAAGATATGATGGAATAAAGACACATACCTTACTATGTCTATACATACGTAAACCCTGAAAACATTACACTTTTTTGGCAGTTATGTAAATGCTATTTAAACGTATCTATTTATACTAGATATTATTTTATTTTCGTAGATCTCAGTTAAGTACGTACAATTATAATGGAGTCAAAATATCTTCCAAAAATGTTCTGCCGAAATCGTAAACTGGACAAGGAAATAATAAAGTTGATGCAGTAGCAGTCTTAATTTATAACAATCAAAGATCCAAATGTGCTAATTGGTGAGAGAACATTAAAGAAGCTGTTCATTTAATCAAATGGATTATATGAAATGGCTCAATATGAGGGTTCCAAATATTTTAGAAATCTATCAATAGTAAAAATATTTAAAAAATAGATAAAAATTTACCTGTCCTCCATCTCCTTAGTTCCTAAACTACAGGGTCTAAAAATAAGAAATGTACATCTTTGCATATAGATTTCAGAAAAATCTATAAGACATTCATAGTAATTAAAATAAAATTAAAATTGAATGGGGGCTACTATACAACAGACGTGATTTTTTGCTTGATATTATAAAAAACAGTGTCTAATGTTGTATAGATCTTGATACGGAACCCTTCGTGCGCTTAGCTGGTTTTTATTACATACTAGCAAACCCGGCGAACTCCGTTTCGCCACCAGATGGCTTCTTTTTATGTAACATTTCGTTTGGTGATTAAAAGAAGATTTTTTTTTATAATTTTTCCTGAATTTTCTTTGCTGTAAACCTCACGGAGCCCGAGACCTTTCCAACGAATGCAAAACCGTGGAAATCGGTTCGTGCGTTCTGGAGTTATAGCGTCAGGAAGGAAAACCCGACTTATTTTTATATAGTAGATTATTATCATTACGTATTGAGCCCTATCGTTCGATTGATTGACATCCTATCTTCAAGCCGACCGTGTTGTGATCTTCCGCTATCGCGACACTGCTTCGATCCACTTCCATCATTTCAATTCTAAGTTCATTTAACACAAAAACCTCTTTCTGTGTTATGTGGTGTTTATCGTGTTTATCTTTATCGACAATGTAATAGGTACTTATTGTGTACCAACTTGCACTATGATAAACTACAAATTATTAACATAATTTTAGCCAGCAAAGGAACAATATCGGCTTCGTTTATATTATAAAACTCTCACATCACAATTTTTTCAACGTTGGGAATGATATTATGTTTCTAATATAAGAAAGGACCATTCAAAGATTTTAAATAAGCAGAGCTAGTACTTTTTTTTAAAACAACCATGATTCGGAAAATATTTGTGCTCACCACAATCGGGATTCGAACCCAGCACCTTTGAAGCTGAAGGCAGTTGCACCAACCAATCGTCATTGTCTTATTATCTTACGCCAAAACTGACCGGCCACAGGCCACAGAAATGTTATTTTAATTGCAAAATCGTAGATACATGTCCGAGATTTCAAGTAAGTTAATTAGATATTAAGCGCCTGTAGTTTTTATGATAGCAATAAATGAATGAGAGTAGAATTTGTAAAATGGTAGGCGCTTATTATTGGCCATGATGCAAAGATTCAAATCTTTGCCATGATGCAGTTTATAAATCGCCGGTGGAAAAGCAAAATCCCTTATACCTACACCACTTTGGTGCTGCATAAAAATTAAAATTTTCATTTTTTGTTTAATGTTAATATTTTAAACAGCAACAAAGTAGCGTAAGCCCTTTTTGTTTTAATCCAAGGGCGTAAGCGAAAGCGATTTTGCTATTCCACTGTGGAATGAAATTATTCAGTCTGTATTAAGTTATTTGTAATTTTGCTGTTGTTGAGCTTGAAACAACTATTTATTTACTTATGTTAAGAAAACGTTTTACAGTTTTTGTCCTTTTTAGTTTTACCCAGAATAAATAATTATTTGATTTAAATTTTTTGTCTGTGATTCTCTGTCGATGTTTACATGCCTATTGTCAAAGTCAAATTGTCAATGTCAAAATCTAAGAAATTTCCGCAATTTCTGGCGAAAATTTCGCGAAATGTCCTATTTTTAAACAAAAACAATTGTAAACATTTACCAAATTATTATGTGACGTTAGAAATATAAAAAACTAGCAGTGATTATGTTCCTGATTCACTGCTAGATGTTTTATTCATAGTTTTTTAATGCTAGTTTACATAACGATGTTCTTTACATAGTGCTATCTTAAATTAAACAAGTAATTATAATGAAGCTATTCACCTACTAATTATTATCAAAACTGCTCGTGTTCAGCGTTGAAGCATGTTAAAATATAGCTGATATTATTAGACTATTAAATTTCTTGTTAACTGATTAATGAAAGAATCTTCAGTCTCAAAATGAACGATAAACCCCCCTGTGATATCTTTAGGGATACCTGGGTCCGTTATTTGGGTACGCATTTTTACAATAACTTATTTCTTTATTTTATTTCTCCTTTACTAAACTAGGAGTGGACAAACTCAATGTATACTGACTAAAGTACAGTGAATTATTATAAAATAAGTAAATACTTACTCATCGCTAGTGATATAGATGTCACTGAAAAGGTCCATCTTGCAGGGTATGCTAATGAAGTGGGCGAGGCTTTCCGGCCTATCATTCCAGGCTGTCTGGTGAGGTTCAGCTATGGGATAGCGTTCTCATACGTTTTTGGCGACACTATGGACAAAGGATTTAAAATGTTTGTGGTAAGTTGTTAAAAATATTTTTTGATTTACTATGTTAATGTTAGTTATCATATCATTTTGACATTCAAATTGTTAGAAATAAATGCATGATTGACTATTTGTATACCTAGTGAATTATTGGCATGTAAGTATTTTATAACTTATTAGATAAAACAATAGACATGTCAATATATGTTTAAGTTTGGTATGATAGCAATAGATACTTAAGGCACTACCAAGTATTAAATTCAATTGACATCACTAACCCCTCCTTTACACCAACATTGCACATGTATTTAACAAATTTTATACAATGTCTTCATTTTTTATTCACTCTTATACTATACATGTATAAAACATGTAGTATACAATACTCGAATCAAACATGTTGGATAAATTAAATATATGAAGTAAATAAGTGATTTATACTAGTGGTCTATGCAGTGTAAACAAAATATTTTTAAACAACTACAACAAATATTCTACAAGTTTTGTATAAACTAGTTTATGACTTGTTTCTAAAACCTCGATGACACGAGGCGAGTTTACAAGCTACAAGCCAGCGAGTTCGCTAGTAACTCGTAAACTCACCCCATATCATAAAGTAGCAGATGGTAAAAAAGCCAATGAAACAGGGCGAGTTTACAAGCTGCTTGTGAACTCGCTGGCTTGTAGCTTGTAAACTGGCCTTGTGTCATCGAGGCTTTAGTGTAAATCAGTGGGTAAGAATGTCTAGTAATATATTTAATATCTAGAATCATTGTTTATAGACACTTTTGAAGTTTCAAATTAGACTATTGTTTGATGATCCTTTAGTTTCTAACTTAGTTCTTTATAGAATTAAAATAACTAGTAAAAGATGATTTTCCCTGTGGTAGATTAGATATTATAGTTTCTCGCTATTAGATCTTAGTAAATAATAATAACAAACTGTATACTGTTTATTAGAAACTAACTCCATAAATCACATGATAAATAAATGGGTATCTTTACAATTATATTTTAAATAAAGCAGACATTTTCCTACAGGCACTTTAATATAAACACAACTAACAATCTTGACAACCAACTAAATTTAAAACAAATTGTTAAAAATGTATGTAATTAAGTACATTAATTAATAGATGTAATTACAGTGTATATTTTTTGATTGTGCTTTCTTGCATGGATTGTAAACTATCAATAATTCAACATTCAAATTCAGTGATACTAACTATTTAAAATTTAACTAATTGCATTGTATAACATACAAGTGATTGACTTATGGGATCCTAACCAGAACAATTGTATCATAATTTTATTAATTCCAATCCTAAATTATGTTAGGAAACTTTTTGGAGACCTCTACAGGGTGCAACATACAACATCAGGCAGAAGGGAATGAGGTAGATATATTCTTAGATTAAGTAACTTTAAGATGAGATTTTAAGATTATTTGTGGTTTTATAGAAAGGATGCGGTGGATTATTACAGGAAGATGGACGGCCAAGCAACGTGATGAAGGCGACTGGGGATGCCCTGATATGGCAAACACTGGCATCGATAGTCATACCGGGAATAACTATAAATAGGTATATACATCAAGGCTAACCTGTACTTTCTGGGTTCTGTAGTTCACATTTCTCAGGCAGGAATAGGTACTTCTTTAATAGAGACCTTTTCAACAAAAAATTGCGAAGTGTCTACTCCTGGGCCCAGAAAGTAACTTTTTTTTGTTCCTGTACCCAAAGAGAGACAATGGAGCATTATCTCGTATTTAGTGATTTTAGTTTTTAATTTTGTTAGTTTAACAGTAACTAGCTTAGTATGTGAAAGCATGAAGAATGCATTGAATAATAGTGTTAGTACTGTTAAGTACCAATAGATGGCGTAGTTTCATTTACTTCTTTATTTAGCGCAAACCATTGAACACACATGTGGTATTGTAGGTACTAGGTGCAGGAAATTACCACCTCCCTATCTGATTTTAAGTGGCTGCGGAGACCATTATCCATTTGCGAAGATTCATTATTATCATCACCATATTAATGTCCCCACTGCTGTGGCATGGCATAGCGAAAATTGGGCCCATCACGTCCAATGCTGATTGGTGGGTGCCAATGACTCCAGATGCAGCCGGGACCTACGATTTAACGTGCCTTCTAAAACCCGAAGGAGCTAGATATTTTTTTGGTCACCCATCCAATGACCGGTCATTGCAAAAGTTCCACAATCGTTGATCGAACGCGCTGACCACCTGTGCCATCGAGTTCGTCCATGCGAAGATTACTTGTGACCAACTTCTCTCTCTTTAATCTTTCAGGCTATGTGCTTATTCCGGTCGAGCCCTCACCAAATACAAGCGCATACCGTCTCCCGCACGAGCTCTCCTTACCGTTGGTATAGGTCTGGCCTCCATACCCATCATCATCGTGCCCATAGACCACGGAGTCACGTTCCTAATGGACCACACTTACAGGAAATGGGTCACATAATCTACGTTGAAGCATTAAACTAAATAACTGGACTGAATTCAAACTGCACTCTGATTGCCAAATTACAGTTTTAACACACATGCACACATCACTAGAAACACACACGTACACACACACACACACACACACACACACAAGCGCATATACAGGCACACACATACACAGGCACACACAGACACACACACAGGCTTACACAATTACACACACATACACACCCTGGAAAAATATTAAACACTGACCATATATTTTCCCAATATTAAGTTTCTAATTTTAAAACACTAAACATTGCCTTATACGCTTCTGAAATTATCATGTAAGGCGTTGAGCAGACGACGGGGCGGGGCGGGCATTTTGTCCGCGAAGCAATAAAGACCGCGTCTGCCCGTCGATGTCTGCGGCTGCCCGCGTCGCGTACACAAAGCACACGACGGGCAGAGGCGGTCAGTACGGGACGTTCGTTCTAGTGAATAGAAAAAGCGCGTGGCGCGGAATGAGCTGACCGCCCCGCGCCGCCGTCTGCGTTACTGCATATAAACTGGTTTGTTAAATCCACGGCGGGCAGCCGCGGACATGCCGCGCCGCCACTGCCCGCCGGGCACTTGGGACGCGGTCTTTTTGCCCTCCGTGTGCGTTTGAAGTATAGGATTCACTTTGTGCTAATATTCGCGGCGAAATTGACTTGAATTGTCGTCTGCTAAACGCCTTAATGTGTCATTTTTTTGGGAAGAAACTGGCTCTTAATACACTGATTAATCCTATATTTTAGGACTCAGGGTCCTTCTGATTGTATTCTGGTATTTATCCAATAAAGATTTGTTATTATTAATGCAGTTATCATGACTACAGTTAACCAAACTGCTGACTCCACGGAGCACCCCCACTAGAGTCCGCATACAAGGGCAAGCGCTTACGCCAAGCTTAAGTAGCATTTTACCTATGCGTGAGGCACGCCCACAGACGTCGCGATACATGGTTTCATTCGGTAACCGAGCGTTGGTCCAACTGCTTCTCTCGTTTTCGTGTTAAAAAACTGTAATAAATGCCGTACTGTGCAATTAAATTGTGTGGAAAGTCGAGTACAACTTCCAGTCTTCAAAAAAATGGTATTACTTTTCACTGGTTAGTTTAAATGCATTACAAAAAGACAAAAATACTGTTATATTAAATTGCTGTTAATTGTATTTATTTTTTGGTGAACGCGTTGATGTCTTTTTACACTATCCCTTTCTCGCATGGGCTACATCATATATGCTATCTCGCTCTCACACCGGCACGTGTATTGCTAGTGACTCAGACGCAGCTCATGTCTCAACGCGTAAGTTTATCGATAAGTTTGTCAGCTATGGAAATGGAAAAAATAAATAAAAACTATTAATTTCATCGTATACAATAATAGATGTCATAAGTATACAACCAACAGTTTTTATTTGACTTCAAACATACCCTAATTTAATTGAAAAAACGCGAAAATTTGTATGCATATTTGTTACTCTTTCACGCTAAAACGGTTAAACGGATTTGTATGAAATTAAGTGCGCATAGTTTATGACCTAGATAAAGACATAGAATTAACGATATTAAATACCCTAGATACACCACGAGCACTCAAAATGTGTCCCAATCAAGAAGTGCTTGAACTCCACTCAAGCACTTCTTAGTACACAGTCACACGCGGACCGTCGAAAAGTCAAGATGCCAAAGATTTCCGTGAAAAAATGCAGAAAAATACTAATAGTACGTAAAGTGTCGTTTTTTCGACGGGTATCTAATTAATGTTTTTTAATTAACGCCTTTAAAGCAAATTTTATAGTTGTAATACTTACTATAAACTGATTTAATTTAAAATATTTGTGATATTCAAATGCATGGTCGGTTATACGTCGCCCTTAGCCATCTCTTTTCTTCGCGGTCTGTACCTGCTATATTGCTAACAGCGCATTCAGTATTGCTCGTGAAAAGTCAAAAAAAATAAGGTCTATATTCTTTCACATATAACAATAAATCGTAAAATTTTACGAACTTGACGCATGCATTTTAATTAAGACCTTATGCCGTATGCATTAAAGGTGATTTTCAATGTTTAAATAAGGCATTATATTGTTTTTGACCACGTGATCATCTTACGGACATCCGTGGATCGTCCAATGTACCTTTTGGACACGTTTCGGCCACGATTTTGTTCGTTTTGTTGTATCTAGGGTAGTTAATATCGTTGCATTAATACTTCTTGTCCTGGACGTGTTTTTTTTCGTGTTGCTTATATATAATTTAGTATGTAGTTACTAGTCGCGTCATGTAATTAGAACGCTGGAAGAAAGTGGAGAGGGTATGATTACGCATTTGCGCACCAAAGTACTAGGCCTCTATTCTAAATTGTTTATCGATAGAAAATATCGATATTTTCTAAAATCGATCTTACCCTCATCACTTCGCTGCACTGAGTATATGATCTGACCTTGACGCGTTTGGACGCGTCAAGGTCAGACCATATACTCAGTTCAGACCTGCTGACCTCCCTGCACCCCACCGACTTTGGCGATTTTGATTCCAAACAAAATTTGTGTGATGCGGACTCTAGTGGGGGTGCTCCATGGCTGACTCACACCAATTACAATAAAGCAGTCAAAGGGCCCGATTCTGTAAACTTTTGATTTACAAACGAACATCTGTCTACTGTGCTAGGTTATTTGTCTTTGGTTTTCCTCAAGAGGTTTGCCACAACCTGTACAATGAAATTGCTTAAAAATTGCAAATATGGCAGTTGAAATGCAGTCCGTCCGTGTAGACTTTTAGCTGCATATGCTGTCGGGAACTCAAAATCTTTGTTGAGAAAATAAAAGAATATATGAATGTGAAAATCTTAACAAAAAATATTTGCATGGAAAATAAAGTGATATTATAAAGATCTTTTTATTCCTATAATGATGTAAAGTTAATAATATAACTTCAAATTATATTGACACCAGCAATTTATTGAGCCTTTTCATTAAAATCTAGATAAGTGTTACTTAGCTTATAAATAAACAAATCAATAATATTGATTGTATTTAAGGGAACAGATGTAGAAAATGAAGACAAGTGGTAGGGTCACTGATTCTGAATGATGGTACTATTAAAATACATTTCTTTATTTATCTTTAATAAGGTTCTATTCATATTTTTTACATATATTTTCAGTTAACATTTTAAAATATTTTCTAGAGTATTTTTCAAATTTTTATTAACACATTTGATGAAATTTTATTAAATTATATTCCTCAAGCATGTTGTTGAGGTTCATATAAAATTTTTACTTTTATTGTTTTTTGTTGAACCGATTATATGTATCGGGCACTATGCCCACTTGATATCATTATATGAACAATTCTATATTTATTATTTCTAATGAACTATGTATTTATTGAAAATAAAAAATGGCAGCAATTTTTAAACCGTGCCTAGGCTGTGGTCCTGGCTACAACTTTGATCATTCCAAATTAAATTAGTTGCTATTTATTACCTAGTAGTTACCTAGTATTATACAATTGTACAAAAAACTTATATAATAGCTTTAGTCCTGTACTCTTAGCACGAACCAATATCGAATTTGCATACTTTGCGAATGCGAAATGTCAATGTCACATTTTGTATGGAAACTTGAACAGCAGCGCCACAACGGACGTAACGAGCACTAAATATCAGTACACATTTGACGTACAAAATAGATCGAATCCATCTATTCGAATTCGATAATGGTTCGTGCTAAGGGTAGACATACTGAAGCCCAAGCACGAACTTAGACAGATTGTACGTAAAACGTAGGACAGATCCTAACGTAATCGTATTGTCATCATCAAATTTTGTATGGAAGGGGTCGGTTTATTCTTATGTCCGCTAGGGGTTGCTGGGGCGCTGCTTTGTTTTCATAGAAACTTTCACGATGCGATACGATTACGGAACTGTCAAAGTTTCTGCTTGGGCCTCTGATAGCAAATTTTATGTTACCTATATTACCTATAAAAATAAGATTTATGATTGTTATTAGATTCTGATACCTATTTAGTGTTCGCGCAAGAAATACTGAATTAAATTAATGAATGGAAGCTGAATTGTCGTGGAATGGTTTTGGCTGTAAAAATGAGATTGTTAATAAAGTATATTTATATGCCAGTGTCGTGATACTTACGGCCTAAGATTAGGCGGCTATTAGACGCTCGTGCAGTGTTTGTAAAAGACATCAGTCACCATCATGCTTCATAGACGACATGTCATCCATCAGTCAAACTGATACCAAAACCGTTTAATAGCCGCCTTAAGGGGGTTTCACGTATTGCATAACGTAATTTTCTTGTAAAACGTTACGATGCGTTACAGGGGCGGGAGGGGGGTTCGATCAACGCGTTAAGTAACATTGTTTTTTATTTAAATAAAAAAAACTAAGGTATTAAAATTAGGGTATAAAAAAGGAAAATGCATGAGAAGTACAATGGTGGATGATCAATGTCAAAAATCTTCAAAATTTGCGTTACGTAATACTTGAACGCCGCCTAAGCTGCCTACAGAGACGCGTTCTCGGTTACGCGTCTCCTGTGACCCAAACACAAAAAACTAGCGAGATAGCATTCGTATCGCTATCATGAGAGTGTTTATGCAAACTAAGCAACGCTCCTTACGAAAGTATGAGCAAACTGTACCTAGTTTGCTCCTTCCATAGAAACTTGCGCTGGCTTACGAATACTTCCTCGCTAGTTGTTTGTGCTTGGGGTACTGGATCTGTAGTACCCTACTAGACTAGTGCCAAACCCAATATTTAATATTAGAAAGAAAATGTAGTTCTAGTCAATTGTTACACTCTCATTATTGACGAATTTGATTCGTGAATATCACTCTTAGTACTACGCAATAAAGGCGCTGTCACTAACAAATTGCACTGGTGGGACTTTGTCGTAATGGGCCTTATTACTAGTTGATGCTTCGTAGGAATCAGATCAATTATGCTTTAGATATAGTACTACATATATATAGAGTTAACCATTTAATATAATAGCTCCCACCAACATTGGCCTGGCCTGTACTGCCAATATCTGGCATAAAAAAGTAATTAGCAAATAATTGGAAGATGGCTTTGCGATTTCGTCAGGTAGGTGTTTTTCTGTAATGAGGGTTTTTTGAATACCTGGCTCTAGGTGGCACCACTGAGCCCAAAAATTTACTCATCCGTATACTTTGTCATAGATCAAAATACCCACTGGAAGATTGGTGTCACAAACTCTTTGGAAAATATCTTTTTTTGTGCCAAATATGGTGTAAATTTTTCTATGAGAACCCTCATAGTATGGTTGCTAGGTATGGTGGTAATTAGGCATGCAGACCCCTCTTTCCCAGTGGGCACCTGGGCAAGTGCCCAGGGCCCCGCGATCGAAAGGGGCCCACTTTAGATCAAATACAAAGTCCCTAGTTTCTGTTAGATCACCAAACGGGGTCCCATTATCCTAATATGCCCAGGGCCTCCAAAAGGTCAAAGACGTCACTGTAGGTATGCAAAGATATTTGCTACGTATACCGGTATTCGCAGTGCTCCATGTTTAGCCTTTTAAACTAGATAAAGTACTTGCCTGCAGAGGATTTAACCTACCAATTGCTAGTACCAGGTATGTAGGAATAAGGGTGCGATCCCATTGAGAGCTAGCATAGTAGCTAAATTTAAACTCGTTTGAGATGAAATTAAAATGAGTCAGTGTATGTTTCTCTATTATGGCTTGTAGATAGTCATCTATGTATTATTAATCTTATATATAAAATTCTCGTGTCACAATGTTAGTTACCATACTCGTGCGAAACGGCTTCACCGAGTATTATGATATTTTATATGCATATTCAGTAGGTCTGAGAATCGGCTACTATCTATTTTTCATACCCCTAAGTGATAGAGGTTGTCCCACCCCTAACATTTTTTTTTAAATTTTTCTATAATTTTTATTTTTATGGTTCTCAATTAAAAAATGTATAAAACCTAAATTGTCACCCTTCTACCACCAGCCACTTTTTTATGGCGGTACGAAGATCGCTGGGTCAGCTAATCTCATTCTATTTTCTTGCCCCCTTATTAATAAACATGTAATAAGTTTAGACTAGTTACGCAGTGTTTTGTTTATGCCATTCGTCATACAGGCCGCGTCATGTAAAAAGAGCGCTGGAAGAAAGTGGAGGGGGCGTGTTTGCGCATGGGTACACTCGCGCACGAAAATACGTACTAGGCCTATTGTTTTATTTTTAAACCAGACTTTCGCTCGTGGCTTTGCATATTGGTTGGTTTAGTAGGTACATTAAAATGAATTATTTATTTCACAAGAATGCAGGTAGGGACAATAGATTACAAGTTATAAAAAATAAAACCTTCATTTCATTCAAAGACAATTGGTTCATTGGCAGTTTCATCATGCAGTTTGATAATTTAAACGGCAGTATGGTATGTTTAGCCTGTTATTGAGTTTATCTCTCAAACAACTTAAAGAGCATCGAACTCCTAAACTTGCAAGCTTTCTAAAATATTGCGCACATTGCTTTTCAATGTTCCTGTCACTTACAATGTAAAATATTTCAGAAAGTGTACGACAAATTTATGATGAACAATAATTGTTGTTTGGTTTTTTCTCTTTCATTTGTTATGTTTCAAAGGTGTACACAAAAAAGTAGATACTTGCAAGTTTAGGTATGCCACCCTCCATACAAAAATGTTCGATCTTCTTTCTCTGCTTAATGAAATAAAAATTCTTAAAAAATATATTCGAAAGAATATCAACAAAAAGATGTTTCATTCAGTGTAGAAAGTTTAATCAAATGGTAATATTGAAACTCCTTCCATTAAGTCGTTGTGGGTGACATGAAAACCAGATGAGGACGCGGTGTTGGTGCTAGAGGTGGCCATTTCATCGTCGTCGCTATCATCACTTAAACTTTCATTATTATTTGAGTCAGAATCATCATCCCCTACGCGAATAATAAATGTTTCTGTCATGATGTCGACCACATGATCGCTTTTAGAATAGTCGGCCTCGATTTCCTTTACCTTTGTGCATAATTTCCCCCATTCTGTTGCGCCCATTAAATTTACTTTTTCGTTAACCAGGTCAGTTATCCGTGTAAGGTTCCAACTTACATTTTTGCTGGCGACATATCCCTTTATTTGGGACCAGGCCATTTCAATTGGATTTAAGTCCGGATGATATGGGGGCAAACGAAGTACAGAATGGCCTGCTTCGTTCAATATCTCATCAATACTAAATTTCTTAAATTGCTCTTTATATTTCTTTATTAAGTTGTACAACTCCGGCTTTAACATGGATTCTTCATATTCAATTCCTTTTTGACTGAGCCAGGTTTGCATATCTGCTTTCTTTGTATTGGACGCTGGTGCAGCATCAAGTTGTTTGTTGTGGTACGATGCATTGTCGACTACCACGACTGAATTAGGCGGTAAATTCGGCATCAGTTTAGTACGGAGCCATCGCTCGTAATTCTCT